TCACACCGTGTGTGTGTGTGTGTGTGTGTGTGTGTGTGATGCAAGAGGCAGAATAGTCTTGCTGGGTCCAAAATATAACACCACCTCGCAGCAGCCCTGCAAAGTAGACACAGTCATTCCTGTTGCGTGTTTATTGCCGTTAATAAAAGTGCCACTATGTTTTCCAAGTGGTTAGGGTTGCTGTTTTTAAGTCAACTACCACAGGCAGCATTTACATTAAAAAACAAGCAAGCAGGGAGAGACAGGGAATCAAAGCCGATCAAGGGTCAGACCTCGGTCACTCTCTGTCTTGGCTGCGGCTTCCCTCCCGTAAAGCCTTCCTCTGGAGGAGGCAGCTGGGGGAAAGCGGCATTCCATGCCCGGTGCCGTGGTTCGCTCTTCCCCTCATCGCTTGGGGTCTGGGCGTTGTGGGCGACCAGCTCGAAATGCTCGACCGGCACGTCGTGCAATGCAATGGAGGGGGGCGGCCTGCCATGGCTCGCGCAGAGGCTGGAGCCGGAGGGCCAAGGGGTCCTCTGCCGGGTGGGGGAATGGCCTTTGGGGCCCTGCTTGCCTGCTCCCCTTCGGGTCTTTCTTTGGGTGCTGAGGGGGTGAGACCTCTTGAGTGTTTCGCATTCGTTGCTGGGGGGAAACGCGTCCTTACAGATGTTCCAGCGGGGTGGGAAACCCGTCAAAGCGTTCAGTGTTTTCGATGGCGCTGCTGAGTGGATTGAAAGCTGGCCCTGAAGCCGCCGGCCTGGGGAATTGGGGGACATTCAGGTGTTTTCTGGGTGCCAGAAAGTGCCTCCTTTGGTTTGGGGGCCCTTTAATCCCCCTGCCGGCTCTGCCGTGGTTATCCTTCCATCAGTAGTTCTCAATTCTCCGGGGCTGCAACAGCAGCCTCTGGCTGATTAATACATTGACTGGACCCCCCTTTTTAAAATCCAATTCAGAAGCAAACGCCAATTAATTAGGTGACACATTTTTAACATGTTAATGATTATTTCAACAAATCCTTCGGAAAAGAAAAGGCTCCCCCAGATGGCGGGTACAGATGGCGAAGAGGCATTCCGGGGGACGGGCATGCAGGCGAGAGGAGAGGGAAGCAATCCTGCCTTTGTGGGTGGCGTTGGTGCAGCGGCACCCCTCTCTCAGGATGGGAAGGGCGCTTCTCCTGCCCCTTCCGCGTCCTGCCAGTCTAGACTTACCCGGTGGGTTCGTTCAACCATCGCAGCGCTGCAGCTTGCGAGCGAGTCTGTTGGGGTCCGTGGCTTCAAGAAGGTTTCTAGCTTTGCGTTCACCCTTGCTTGCCCCCAAGCCCCCAAATCTCTTGCATCTGGCTTACAGCTCCAAACTCGCAGAGAGGCCCCCCGGATTTCGTGAGAATCTCCTTTCTGCATCCTCTTATCAAACTCCCTAGTGTGGACCCCCCTCTCCCGATCGGCACTGGTTCAGCTGCAAGTCTCCTCCCCTCCTTTTCTGGGTTATGGAGGGAGGGCGACTATGGCTGAGGAAGAAGGCTCCTGGGGGCCTGGGGACGCTGGTGAGCTGGGAGAGGGGCTTCTCTGCCCCCAAAGCGAGGAGGAATCCCGCAGGGCCCTTCTCCTGGGCCAGCGTGATCTCTGTCGCACACGGGCAAAGTCACCAGGGCTGGCGTCTGAGAGCGAGACGCGAGGAACCCCTGGGCGTCTCCTGCTCTTGAACGGATCCTGGGAAGCCCGGCGGGGTTGCCCCGAATCGGAGCGCTTTCGGGAACCGAAAAGCTCTTCATCTGGGCTAATCGACTGATCCGTTCGCCAGCAGCCCAGGGAAACGGTCACATTTTTAGACTGGCGTTCCCAGCAGACCCGGTGCATCCTCTTGGGGGCTGCTGTTGCACCTTGGACAAACCTAGTTATTTTTAAGCAGGCATACGAGGCCCTTGAGAGTTTGGAGTTCTCCTTCGGCTCCCACCACCAGAGACAGTTTGTGGTGCCGCTGAACTTGGGTCAGATAATCAGGACGGCTTCCCTCTGCCGGTCCGTCTCCCAGGGCCTCGGGCTGATGGTCCACTGGCCGTGTGACCAGCCGTGCTCTTCTGGCAGGCAAGCGGGTGGCTCGGGGCAGGAGGAGAGGGCGCAGAGGTTGCTTTTGGCACCCCCAGCCTCTCCGGCAAGATGGGGGGCAGCTCCCCCTCCTGCCTCATGGGTGGGGTGGCCAAGACAGGCTTTGTAGAGCTCCACCTGCTGGCCAGGGCAGCAACGGCAGGCCTCCTGCACCTTTCCGGCCTTCCGCCTTCCACAAAAATGGGAAAAACACCCAGAATTGATGGCAGAGCACCTGTGTTTCCCGTAGGTGGCATGATACGGACCTTGGAAGCGGCCTGCCAGTTAGGCTGCTCAGTGTATCCTGGCTCTGGCAATGCCCAACCGTAGCTGGCCCCTTTGCTCATTGCCATTCTCAACGGCTCTAAGGTAGACTGCCCTTGTTCATGGCTGCTCTACAGACCCGATCCCCTGGATTAAACAAAGACACAAGAATCTCAACCCCCCTCTTTCTCCTCCTCCTCCTCTCAGTTCTCCAGACCCGCTTCATTGAGGAACCCGAGGACCAGACAGTCGTCGCGGGGCAGAGGGTGGTGCTGTCCTGCGTGGTGCTGAACTACTCCGGGATTGTGCAGTGGACCAAAGATGGCCTGGCGCTGGGAATGGGACAAGGCCTCAGAGGTGAGGCTTTCCTCTCCCGGGGATATTCCTCCCAGCATATCTTCTCTGGAAGTTGTCCGCCTCCCTGCAACTTGCCTGCCCCACACCTGCGAAGGCGCTTCGTGCTCTGAAGATGCCAGCTGCCCCGGAGACAGGGCGTGGGTGGGGGCAAGACCGGTGAACGAGAGGACCCTTTCTTCCCCTCCCCTCCCCTCCCCTCCCCTCCCCT